TATGCTCCTTCAGTTGATTCTACGGATTGTTGAGCAAATTTGATATGGAGTTTTTCCTTGTGCTTTTTATATTCTTTTTGGCTCTAAACGCAAAGTGCAAACACCGATATTCAGTTCCATATTATATATATTTCGAAGAATTCGACCCCTTAGCTGGGTACCCCCAAGAGCGAGCGCACTTCTGCACGCCGTGCCATTCCCACGACGAAGGTGCTGGGCAATGGATAGCCATCGCTATAGTGTGTGAACCACTAAACCCCTAGCTGACGAGGTGTTGGTGGAGTTCACCCATCGTTCAAAGCCATAGACCACGTGGTCACGAGGTGATATGATACATACTTTTCCACTCGTGTGCTCAAAATTCATCCAAAAAGCATGCGGACGTCCGCTTTTCCCATTTTGTTTCAATCTTATTGGGGGCATCTCAATTCGAATTTACATCCGACGATAGTGGCATCTCCAAAAATCACCATAAAAGCATGCACCAATCACACTATTCCAAGCATTTTTGCTTCAAAAACGATGGAAATTGGTGATTTTTCTGCCAAGCCGACTCTTTGCTTCGTGGAGAGCACAGGGTCGGTATGACCCTGTGACACGGGAGGGAGCGAAGGGAGGCAGCCACAAAGCAGTGTCGCACTGCGTTCGGTGCCATTGAGCATGTGAGCGCGGGTCTCTTACCCCCAACTCATATCCTTACACCGGATCTAGCATTTGCAAAGCGAATTCTAGGATACCCCCACCGCGGCGGCAGAGCGGCGTTTGCCTGGCTTGGTCGATTTGGAATGGTTCCAGCATCTCTCGGTTGCGTTTCTTTCACGCTATCCATCGTACACCCCGAACGCAGTTTTTTGTGAAACCGGCTTGTGCTAGCTTGGTTTCAAAGAAGGGGGTGAAATGCATCGGTTGGCACGTTGTGTGGCTTGCCAATCTTTTCAACGAAATATTCCTGCCCCCCAAAGACGTGCAATAGCCACAGGTACATGAGCAATCAACACGACTGCGTCCCCCCGTTGCTATGGCAATTTTGCGTCGACAGGAGTGTGCCCGCGGAAGGTTTCAAACTCTTTCGTGTAGCAGGGGAATCGACCGGACGCGTTTGGGGCCACGGGATTATCTCTTCCTTCCTCGTCAGGTTTGAATACCTAGGAAACTCGTTTCGGCTGGCGGTGGGCATACACGCAGCACCCCTCGGGGATAGCCGGTTTCAACGTTAGCCTCTCGCAATGGTTTTGTCGCTGCTGTGCCATCGGATGACCCCAGGCCAGCAAAACCCTTGGGCCACTCTGGGATTCTACGTTTCCTCCTCTCCGCGACACCAATGCGACGCATTCAATGTGCTGGGACTGCGCGAAGGAGTTGAAACATGCCAACGACACGATCGTTCGCCCTTTCGAAGAATGCCAACGCACCACACCAAGCGATCGCTTCTGCTTGCGGTATGCGTCTGCAGCATGGGCTTGTCCGGCCCGATCCGGGCTTGTCACACCGTCCACTGGAAAACGGGCTGTACGAGAGTGGTTGGTAGGACCTTTTGAATGACTCGGAGGGGAGAAATTGTCGAGACTGCTCCGACACCGCCCCCGCGAACCTACTGCGACGACGTGTGGCTAGAGCACAAGACGCAGGATTGAAAAATGCTCTCGGAGTGAGGAACGGTGGTGGTGAGCTTGGCCAGAACGGCTCAAGTCACGTGATCCGTTGCTCGCGTGGTGGCTGCTATTCTTCGGTCAACTACATCCTGGACAGCCGTCGCGAATCGGAAGCACGTTCGGGTGTTTCGGCGAACCGAATGGCCTCGATCCCGAGGTACACTGACGCCTGAGCCCCGCAGCTCGATAAAGATCTGCAGCATCCTTTCCTTCTGAGAGGTCCTTCCGAACAAACCACATCGCAGTGATAGTACCAAGGGGAAGCCACGATGACGAATTCGCATTCACGTCCGTTTCGGAACCTCCGGAAGAAGCACGTGTTCACGCCCGGTGGTCACCCCACACATGCCATGGCCACGTGTACTTCGGCGTTGAAGAGTTCACACAAACTCTGCCCACCATAAACCGTCCAAAGGGCGCGAGGCTGCCCCATGATGAGCCCTCTCCCGTTGGCTACACTACTCGACAAGGGATGTGCGGTGCGCTGATAGGGCCGCCAACGTTTGTATGCTATCCCCGACACTTACACAACCGTACGTCGCACGTGCCTCACTCATGGTGCCACGAATGTGGAAGTCGCCGCCAGGCCTCCATCACGCTCCGCCCCCCCCCCCCGTCGTGCCCTACCTCACGTCCGACGCTGCCGAGGTGAACATGAGAAGGGGGAAATGGGGTCCAGTGTCGGTTTGGTGTCCCATCTATCGTGGTTGCGATCCCCAACTTCCGCGACATTTCGTCAATTATGGCGGTCTCCACTCCCCCATGGGGCATGCGGTCGTCCAGCATCACGAGGCCTGCACTTCGTCGAAGAACAGCCGAAGGATGAAGCATTGCAACAACACAATTCTTGAAGCTGCCAACCGCCCTACCAACTGGGGCGTCACATAGATGGGTAGTTGGAAGTCAGTATAGGCCAGACTCATGTCACCGTCTCCGACAGGGTCAATCATGACGGAACCAACGTGCCTTCGAAACAGGACAACACTGGAAATGCTGCCAGAATCCCTTGAGTGAACAGAGTTTGGCCCTGAAGCGTTCCTGGAATCGCCAGCGCTCCATGCTCCAATGGACAGGTCATGCGCAATACATCTGCGTGGTCGCAGCCCTCGAAAGATTACAGTAAAACTCACGCATGGATATCGCCCACATGTCGTTGTTTCACGCACGCGAACAGCGTGACTTGTGGGGCGGCGCGGTCCGAATCCAAACGAGCGAACGGCGCCAAGGATTCTCTCTGGGTGCGACGGGGGTGCACGCTTGTGTAAGTAGACGCCAGCGAAGGGTGGTCGGCCGCGATGAAGTCGCAGCTACGTGGGGTCGCTCGCAGGCCAAGCAGACCCGTCTTTCCGCCATGCCATCAGGAACTAGGTTGCCTCGTTGCCATCGTGAGTGCCTACTTGACATGGCAGACAGGTCGACCTAGTCATTGGAACTGTTGTGACATCATGGTGGTGCTCAGCCCCGTCTGATTTCATGCACTCGAGAGCTACTCTATCGCTGTGGCTGGTGGTTGCCTCACCCCAGGACATGCTCGTCCGAGTCTTTCTCGCTTCGCTATTTACCTTGGCCACATCTCTGGGGTTTCGTGGACAATCGTGCCACGGTATGCTCAACGTATCTCTGAGGCATCTCGCTCGCTTGCTCGCGGCTGGCAGGTATCTCCGTGACATGGGCGAGAGACAGTCATCGGCCTTCGCGTTGGGACGAAGTGATTCGTCCCGACCTTTGAGACAATCTGCTGTGACAGCGCTCTCGCACATCACGAGTCCTCCTCGACCGTCGGACGGCAGCGAGCCTGGGGCATCAAGCCTCGCCCTGGCACGGCGAGTCGGGCCTTGGGGGTTGTTCCAAAGTCGATATATGGACATGACTTAGGTGGTTGGTCGCCCGCTTGACGTGCACGTGGTCAGGTTATCGTCAACCTACTTCGCTCACTATAGTTGCCAGTCGCATGCCCAGGGCGAGGACGTGCTAAACGAAATCACAGGCGGCACGGAGTGAGATGTCGCTAGCTTTCGCCCTCGCTCACACGGATGAACGCGCTGGACCATCCAGCGAGCGACTCGAGTGCCGTTGGCTCAAGTCGCGGGACGATTGTGACAAGTGTTATGTGCCCAAGTGAAACGAGGGGCCTGCTGCGATGCTGTACGATGATTCGACGGCGCGCCCGATGATTGCAAACCAGTTGGCAGATTGGACCGATCCATCACACCAGACCGTTCAAGTTGCGGGGGCGGGTCGCCCCTTTTCTCAAGGCCACATGGTCTCGATGGTGCTACCGCCGGGGACCTTGGTCATTTCCGATTTTGCATTGATGGGATCGAGTTGTGCGTTCAAAGACTGCCGGCTGGAGGCGTTGCCCAACACGGACAAGTGCGAAGTCCACAAGTTCCGCAAGCAATGCCGCATCCCCGGGTGTTTCAACATCGTGTACGCACGGCACTTGTGCGTTCGCCACGGCGGCAAAAAGAAGTGCGAAGCGCCAGGGTGTGCGGCGAATGCGTACGGTGGCAACTTTTGTGGCCAGCACGGCGGGTCGCTGTCCAAACCCGCATGCAAGCACCAAGGATGCACCAAGCAGTCGCATACACGTGGTCTGTGCGTCACGCATGGCGGTGGCCGGCGCTGCCAGACGGACGGGTGCGGCCACTACGCGCGCGGTGGTGGCCTGTGCCACAAACACAAGACAATGGCGGACCAGTGCAGCCACCGCGACGTCAAGGTCGAGCACGTGCAGCACCGCCAGCAACTGCAGCAGCAACAACTTCTCAATAGCCGATTTGAGCCGATCATCCAGGACGAATACTACTACAGCGGGTGCTACAGCGCCGCGTACAAGGAAGACTTGAGTCACAGCGAATTTCTCGATCTCCTCATGCAGTATTTCCCCCCGAACTCGGCGAATGAGCCGTGGAAGATGCCGCGGGCGCCCGCGCGCAGTCCATGCAGCGTCGATGGTCTCCTCATGGTGTGACAGCCTCGCATCGTTGCGCCAACATCCCCCCCACTGGGCACGACTGCGCACCCAGTACATTTAACTTAATCCGACCAAATACTCGCCAACTCGTACGTCTGCCCCTCATCCCCGCCACCGGCCATCGCGTTTTGTGGCCTTTCCGGCACGTGAGAAAGGGACCCGACGCAGCCCTGACAATGGCGTCGGTGTAACTAGCCACGGATGGTGCGCATCACACACGCGGCGGCAAGTGGGAGGCATCCAAACCTCCCTCAGATCAGACCACCACACTGAGTACAATGAAGCCAGCGCTTTGGCACAACGAGTACCGAATTCTTTCCTTGGACATGCTGGAGTTGGAAGGCAGGGTGTCATGGCTCGCCAGATCGCCGTCCGCGTGGCCATGTTGGTGTGCCGCTTGAGTCCCTCGCAACGTCGATGGCGCGCTGTCGGTCCTCATGAGCCGCAGTTGCTCATGCCATGGAGCATGGCCCATCGTGGCCACTCAACACACAAAGTCATCATCGGTTCGAGATTGGTCAAGGGCGGACAAAGTATTGCAACGATTCGCCGCGGTACCCCAGTCGAGGCGCCAAGACGTCCCAGAAGGACGCGTTACATCACGCTACCGGCAGCTGCTACGATGAGTGGTCAACGTTTCGAGCACAATTCGTCCAAGGACAGGGGAGCAACGACAGGCCTCAAATAATCGCCAGAAAAGCGCTGGCAATGGACTGGAGAACGTCGTCTGCCCCTTCAGGACTAGTTGGACGAGGTAATGTCACCCCCGGAGAAACGAGTCGCAGCGGAGAGACAACTCCAGATGGCAGCTCCCACATGACGCTGCACGTATCCCACCGGGCTGTACACACTGGCGCTTGTCCTCCGAATGGGGGCCGCCGGGCAGCCCCCTCGCCCAACTGCTCGTTGAATAGGTGAAAGACGAGCTCGTCGCCATCCATCGTCGTCGACGCGGTCCGTTCATCCTGCCAAACGGCGGACACCGTCGCCGTCGTTGGAGTTTATGGCCGCCAGTCTATATCAGGCTTGGTACCACTGCGTCCAGGGCACCATGGCGGCGGGTGTGGACACGTTGCGAGTACAGTGTCGTTGCGCTGGCACATCGCATGGCGGTGCCTTCCTCAGGGGGGGGGCTCGCCCCAGCTGGAGGGTTTGCGAAGACCAAAAGCATCCAACCATGACGGAGGGGGGTGAGGCGGGGGTGGCAGCTCCTACACCGCAAGCCACAAAGGTTTGGGCGTCGGCTTGCTATCACAATTCGAAGCCACCGGGCTACGATGTGTGGCCACGATTCCACGTCCTTTGGCCATTCCTCCCCTTACAACGTCTTCGCAACCACTTGTGGCTATCGATGGAAAGTTGATATCGGTCACCGCACGCCGACGGCGGGTTGTCGCCAGGTCCATCGGGGTCGAAGACGGTACGTTTTCTTCGATTCAAGGGCGACTCGTTCAGGAGTAAAAGGCTTGAAAGCCCTTTGCGACCCGCTCCACGACCTCCTGGATGTGTGTGTACTCTCGCGCAGAGCTCCGCTGGAGGTGCGAGCGCACGAGTGGCCTTGTCGTATGCATCGGATCCAACTCCATGGAACCTCTCAATGCCCAAAGGTTGAGGAAACTCGATGGGAATTGTCTCCCCCGCAAAGTGGACGAGCGAAGGAATGAATGAGCAATCGACACGGCATCGAACACTACGGCCATTGTGGTCGTAGCCACCCGAACAGTTGTTGGAACGACGTGTGCAGTGTTTGCCGGGACGTCCACTGGGACACCAACGAGACCGGCCACTTCGTCGCAATCCGCTTCCTTTATCGCGTCTAGAAAGGACGAATACACCGAGGTGCAGGCCGCGCTGGCTTGAAACGTGTCCAGGTCGGTGGACGTGGGGCGGGGACCGTTTTGAGTTAACGCAAACGTCAAACGGCGCAGTGGTTTCTTGACACGCCGGCCAATTCGGGCTCGTCGTGATCGCATCGAGCATTTGCTGCTTTTGGTGCACCCAATCGCCGACACGACGGCCAGCGTCGCGTTGTGGCAAGGATGGAAATCAAAATCTGCTTGGTACGCCGAGCTCTTTGTTCTCCCGTTCGGACGGGGGGGCATTCCAGTCTGCCCAGCGACAGTCCATCCATGGACAAACCAATCGAGAAGACGAACAAGTGTGTGCGGGGGGACCGTGTGTACCCACGACTTCCCGTCATGCAAATAATTTGAAGGTCTGGGGCAGCTCCCCCCCCCTCCGTCCTTTATCTTACCCATGTTTCCCGTATTGTTGCTGACATTCCTGGCTGCTACCGTCGGTGGCGAGTCCCATGCAAAAACAGGGGAGAAGCTCCACCGCATGGCGGTTTCTAGCAGCGGCCAGACGTCTTGGCAGCAAAGCGGAGAGATGCCATTGTGTGCTGTCCTCCATCCGCCCCTGTTGGCGGCGATTTTATCTAGAGGAGAGCTGCCATGCACGGGATTCCCTGTGTGGAGGGTGGGGGCACGCCCGCTTTGAGCCCACCACCATGACGACTCGAATGACATTCGTTTTGACCGGCGCAAGAGCCGATTTTGCGTTTTTTCCTGTTGTCGATGGAAATGCAGACAGGAGGGTGGCCTTCCCGGGGCGGCACGGTGCGGCTTGGGTCGACTCCATGGAGGAGGCGAAAGCGTCTACTTGGGCGCGCCAAGCTCGTCTCCAGCACTAGCGCAAGTCGTGGGCGACTGTTTGCGTCCCATCCGTCGCAAACGACGTCATTCTGCTGTGCCAGCGCAACGAACATGTTGATTTACAGAGCAATTGAAGCGTCAGGGGCTAGTTGGCCGCCGTTCCGTAGTCGAGGTCGACGCCATGGTGGCCCAAGGACGGTAGGCCCAGCAGAACGTCCTTGTGAGCTTTAATACTGGACGGGTCGACCTCGTATGCTGCCCAGATCTTGTTGAGGTCGTCGGCAATAGTCGCCACGTCGACATCGTCGTGCAGAGCTGCCACGAGTTGCTCGAGTTGTTTCTCCATGTTGCTGCGTTCAATCGGTTCGTTGTGCAGGAACGACATGGCAGCGACAGCATGGACCAAGGCGGGCACGACGATGGGCGCAGAGTCGAGTACAGACAGCAGGAATGGATTCGGTCGAGCGACCGAGGCGGTGGGGTGCTCGGCCAGCAATGCCGTGGCTGTGAGAAATTGCAGCGTCGTGCGGAGGAATGGAAGCAATGCGCGAATGGATGCACTGCTAGCACGCACAACGTGGCCAGCCGTCTCAGCAACGTGGGGGCACATTGGTCGAAGGCGCATCCACTTTTCCGACAGCCATTTCTTGGGGTACACGTGGTAGCCCGTGGTAGGTTCCACCAGCCACAGACACGGCCACATTGGTGGAATTGCGATGGATGCCTGCGAGTTGCTCAGCAATTTACGTCTCCTTTTGACACGTACTGGGGAAGCCATGCTTGAAACTTGACGCAGCAGCCGCGCAACATCAACGTAGCCTTCCTCGGTTGCGAGGTCCACAGCACTGTCGCCGCCCTGCACCAAGAATTGCTGAGCAACTGGATAAGCAACGAGCACGCACTTTTGTTGTAGCTGTCGCGTCAAATAGCCCCGATGCCGCCAACAGCTCGACAACTTTGGCTTGTCCGCTGTATGCCGCCGCGTGCAATGCAGTCCAGCCATCCTTATCAGTAGTTAGTGCGAGAAAGTGGGGAAGGGCAATACCATGTCCTGGAGAGCAGCATTCGTTCGCGGAAGTAGCAACGCCACCGCCGCCGCATGTCCTCGCTCACTGGCGATGTGCAAAGCCGTAGCACCATTCTACGACGCGAAGAGTCTGCGAGCGTTGCTGTGCTGGTCGTACCCGATTTGAGAGGTTGGCATCGACTCTATCGTGCTGTAGCAAGCGCTCGACCACATCGGCATGGCCCATCTCCGATGCAATGTAGAGTGGGGTAGCTCCATCCTGACGGTGGAATTCAGACGAAGAGGACGGCGACGCACTGACCGCATTCGCCAAGTTCACATTGGCATATCGAACCAGGACATCCACAACATGCACATGACCTTCCTGTGCGGCGGCGTACAGAGCAGTCTCGCTATCCTGCATTCGACATGGGACCTCTCCAATGCATGGGCGCGGCCACGTACTTCATTTGTCCAGTCCACGTCTGCCGCGTCGACCAGGGCTCGAACGACATCGGTGTGTCCATGCTTTGAGGCAATCCACAATGGAGTTGCACCGTTCTGATCGAGTGACGCAGCCCAGCCATGCGTGAGGACTCGTGCGTCTAGGTAAACGGGATGGGGTACCTCGCTGACGTTGACGGTGGTTTCTACGTCACGGAAGATCCTTGTGATCGTATCGACATCTCCTTCCTTCGCAGCGACCCACAGATCACTTGCCTTCTCCTGTCCCATGTTCCGCTGAGCTCCATCTTCACAGGGCACTGTCGTCCATACCGACATCAATGGATTTCTTGAATATTTCACGATTTTAGAGAATCTCTATTTATTCAAGGACCAAGATGTAGTATTATTACTACTACTATCTGTTCTGTTAGTAGTACTCATGGATTTGCAAAAAATGGAACATCTCCGAATTTTTGGTAAATTTTTGCACGATACGAAGTGATGGAGAAATCCGGATACAAAGCCTATACATCCGGGAATTGCCGACTGTCGATTTTGTCGCGGGGTTGCGTTGAGGAAGTCGATGAACTTGATCCAAGGGAAGACCAACCAGTACCTGCGGGAAGCCATCCTGGAGAACAATGTGGAGAAGGCGCGCAAATACTTGACCCTCGTCATCGGGAAGGCTGACGTGCAAGCGACGACAGAGGTATACCTCATTTATTGCATGGCATTCGTCCCAACTTGTGTTTTCTGCTGTAGCAAGGCGGGTTTACGATGTTGCATTGCGCCGTCATTATCGGTAACGTTCAAATGGTGGTCATGCTGCTTCAGTTGCATGCAAATATTTGGGCCATCACGGACGTGAGTCTATAACCATTTTCGTCTCGTCGCCGATGATGTTCGTGTAGGATGGATATTCGGCGCTCGACCTAGCCATCTGGAAAGGCCATGGTCAGATCATCGACATCCTGCGAACTCAAGGGCATGTCCCTTTCCCCAGACGTTCCTTGATCACACAACTAACACTCGAATCTAGGGCAATTGCTCCAATGAAGGAACCTGAGAGCTTGAATGGCAAGATGGTCCTCCACCTCGGCCGCAAGGCCGTCGTCGTCGACTATTTCCCCAGTACAGCATTTCGAACGAAGAGCACTCGTGCATTGCACTACCCCGCCGCCGAGAACGGCAAGACCACCGCTGAGAATTACCTCGTGAACCTCTGGGCAGGCACCGATTACCGAATTATCGGTGCGTGACGACTTGATCACGAACATTGCCATGACCTAATTCTTGTTTGTTGAAGGTATTGAACTGGACTACGAGCGGCATCGGTCGAATGTATTCACTCCCATGGATATCAGCATGGATGCGGAAGAGTGCCATGTTCTCACCGACCAGCGGTCTCGCGCTGGATCCGAGGCCAACTCGGCCCCTCGGACGCCCGTCGCTGCATCCGTTGTACCGGGGTTTCCCATGGACGTCGAGACGAAACTCGAAGCGGAGCTCGAAAATGTCCTGGAAGGGCAAGCATTCTTTGACGAGGATGATGACGACGACACGAGCGAAGACGACGACGACGAAATTGAAGTCGAAGCTACTGCTGAAGTTGTGGTTCCCCCAGGTCCTCTGGGGGTTTTGCTCGACTCGGGCATTGAGTCGTGCGCAGTCGTTCAAGGCTTTACGCCCCTCGTCTCCGGTGGTCCCGGTGCCATCGAGGCGTCCGGAGTCGTGAAGCCCGGCATGTACATCATCGGCATCAACGAGACGAACGCGTGTCTGATGACTCTGCAGCAAGTCATCCAGTTGCTTGGGAAACTCGCACGAAAGGAGAAGATCATCCGTTTTGCCGCGTACAAACCGCCGGCGCCACCCAAGATCAAGGTAGAGAAAGTGAACGCTCCTCGAAAGTCATCCGCATCCACCGCGAGTGCCCTACCCACGTCCTCGAACCTTGCCGACCTCGTGTCCGCCGTCAGAGACCGCCGGGCGTCGATGACCGCCGCGCCGATTTCGTTCAAATTGCAAGACGTTCCCATTTCAACGATGCCGCCGCCGGCTCCGACCACTCCAATCGTTCCGACATCGACTGTGGGGGAAGCTGAGTGCGCGCATTGCGGCCTCCCGTCCACCGTGCATTGCTCGAACGACTGCCCATACAAGTAACATGCTCTTCCATGGATCACCCACCGCATGCATGTTCGAGACTTTTGTTGGCGAACCGAATTCGACATGTTGGAATATAAAACATACTAGTAAAACGTAACTAGGGTGAAAAGTACGAGTTTCACCTGGGTATGCCTAGTTTAGACGACGCCGTTGGAAAAAATGCATGTGTTAAAAAGAGTCATATCCATTGCGTAGTTGCCATTTGTACCTAATTTAAACATCGAGCTAACTTCAACTATTTTTAACGTAAGAGTTTCAGTGCAAGGAATGGCGTTATAACGTTATTGGAAATCTTTTCCCGAACACATTTGCTGACTTGTTACCAAGACTTTGCACAGCGTCATCTTGAATTACTGTACTCTGCTGAGTTCTCGGGAAAGCAGTCTACGTACGACTGCCGCGACATTTTGAACGTCGTCGGAACAGTAGTGGTCTGGGACATGTATTTTGCGGCGTGATTGAGTGTATAATTTCACACTTTAGAATGCCCACGACTTGAGTATGCGTATACTCTGTTCAGGTCAAAAGATCATGCGTTGTGACAGTTTTTGACGATGAATAAATTGCTAGAGGTGTTGTTTGGAAAATTTTCCGGCGTTCGCTGACATTGAAAAGCGTCAAAAACCGATTCCGACCGGTGGTACATGCGCCTTCTGCTTGTGATCGCGGCAGCGTTGGTCGGCTGTGCGGCGGCCACTCCGACGTGTAAGGCCCCGTACGAAGTTGCGAGCGCGGGCGGAACGCAATGTGCGTGTGCAAAGGACTTCTTAGGCGTCAACTGCATGCAATGTCGCACGGAGAGCGCTTGCAACTGGATAGACAAGAACTCGCACTGCGCAGTTGGGTTTGGATTCACTTCTAGCATGAAGTCCAAGACGTACACCTGTCTGTTAAGTCAAACGCTGCAGGCAGTGTTCAACGATGGCGCGATGGGGTTGACGTGCGACACGACGGCGAAGACGTGCACGATGGCGGTGTACAAGTCGGCCACGGGACCTCAAGGCGAGCACGCGATCGACTGCAGCATGAAAGGGTGTTCTTTTGCTGGAACTTCGGTCGCGTGCGACAGTCTCACGTGTAAGTGCACCGACCTGTGCTCCCTCGTGTCCAAGCAATTGTTCGAGGTGTCACTCGCGAACAAGTACAGTGACGCAGACCGCCATACTCGTCTAACTCGCCTTGCGTAGGCCCGTGAAAATGGTCGCAATCTCCAACACCACGTTGAAAGTCGAAATTGAGGGGTCGCCTTTGCCTCTCGAAGGGATCTGTACTGCTTCATCATGCGAATCGACCAAGGTAATGGACCAGCTTGCCGGTATCGACGACGACAGCTCTTCCACCCCAACGGCCGCTCCTCAAACGTACTCCAAGGCTCTGATCGTGTCCCTCTCTGCGGTGCTGGTGCTCCTGGGTGCCAGTGCGCTATTTGTGTGTTGTTTTTACACTCTGTACGCCGCCAAACTCAGACGAGCACCATCCAAGGAGGCTGCAATGTCTCTGGAAGACCCGCTCGAGACGAATGGCTTTGTTGTCTCGACGACGGGCGATCTGTTTTCCTTTGCAGACGTGTGCTGCGTCTCGAAAAGCAGTCGCAACCCGTTCAAGTCGGCCACACTAGTCCAACCCCCCCGCCCGATTCTTTCCAACGTCCACGGCTCCGTCCGCCGTGGTCAAGTGCTGGGGCTCATGGGCCCCAGTGGATCTGGGAAGACGACGTTGCTGAATGCCCTTGCTGGTGTCGCGAACGGCACGACGACCGCGTTCACCGGCAGTATTTTGCTGGACAACCAGCCGCTCCCGTCCAACTTTCGCCACCTCGCCGCGTATGTCCAACAAGACGACTGCTTGTTTTCGACTCTCACGGTCCGCGAGTCTATCGAATACTCTGCCTTTCTCCGGCTGCCATCACGTCTATCTCTCCACACGAAACAGCAAGTCGTGACCAAGGTCCTCGACGAGCTTCGCCTCACTCACGTCGCCGACTCCCGTATTGGAAACGCTAGCGTTCGAGGAATCTCTGGCGGAGAGCGCCGCCGCGTCAGCATCGGAATGGAACTTGTGACACAGCCTCAGGTGCGTCTGGCACTATCGTGCAACTGTGTCGGTGGATGCACGAAATGGCATTGTTTGTGGAGTGTGCTGCATGTTGCTGGCGGCCGTGGTCTCCTCTGTGGTGATTCAACATGTCGTGGTGTAGATGCTGTTTTTGGACGAGCCGACGTCTGGCCTGGACAGCGCATCGGCGAACAGTTTGATCTCGTTGCTGTCGACGGTGGCCAAGAGCGGGCGGATGGTGATTTTGTCTGTGCATCAACCCAGTACCAAGTCTTTCCTCAAGCTCGACAACGTGTTGGTGCTCGCCAAAGGTATGGTCGACATGGATGGATCGAGTCGTCATGGCCATGGCTAGGCCAACTCGTCTATTCTGGGCCGTCCACGGCAGCCGCCACGCGCTTTTCGTCGTTGGGCTTGCCGTGTCCCGCCAACGAAAACATTGCCGATCACATCTTGGACTGCGCATCCGACCCCGCTTCGATTCCAGTACTGCACGAGGCTTGGCTCGGTGACATGCACGACGTGTCGGCGCGAGAGGATCCGCTGGATGCGCCCGTGCGTCAGCCGTCCTTTGAAAAAGTCGACTTTGGCATGCAACGGTACCATCGGTCGAGTCTCCTCAAACTCCAAGTCCTCTTTCTTCGCACGATGCGCAATACGTTCCGCCAAAAGTCGCTCTTCGTCCTCCACTTGGCCATCTCGGCCATTCTTGGCGTCATCACGGGGCTCATCTTCATGGGGCTGCAAAACAACCTGGCGGGGTTCCAAAACCGCATGGGCGCGTTCTTTTTCACGCTGACGTTCTTTGGGTTTGGCACGTTGAGCTCGATGGACGCGTTCATCGCAGAGCGCCCGCTTTTCGTCAAGGAGGCCGGCGCCAAGTACTACGGCGCGTGGAGCTACTTTGTAGCCAAGGCAAGTATCGACCTCGCGTCGTTGCGGGTCCTGCCAGCGATTGTGTTTGCCAGCATCTTTTACTATCTCATGGGGCTCCATGCCCCACTCGATCGGTTCCTGCTCTTCACGACGACACTCGTCCTGTTCAACGTGGCCGTGGGGTCCATGAGCACCTTTGTCAGCATTTGCAGCAAGACGGTCGGGATTGCCAACTTGGTCGCGACGGTCGTGCTGCTCCAAAACGTCCTCTTTGGCGGGTTCCTCTTGAACGTCCAGACCATGTCGGTGGGCGCGGCGTGGATGCAATGGCTGTCGATGTTCAAATATGCATTTGAAGTGATGATGACAAACGAGCTGAGCGGTCTCTTGCTCACGTTTGACGCGTCGGGGTATGTGGCCGTCCCGGTCTATGGCGAAGTGTACCTCAAAACCCTCGGCATGGACATCAACAACCAAATGCGCGATGTCGTCTGCCTCGTCGCTATCACGGCCGCCTTCAACTTGGCGAGCTTTGTCATGCTAAAGTACCAGGTCCCTCGACCCATGCGCCTCTCGATGGCGCCCGCCACGAAATCCGTGTAATCATCCACACCCAACTTTCTCACCTTTGTCTCGTCCTCCCGTCATCGAGACGACGCCCTGTCCGTTGGAAGGGGCGGCGTACTCGATGTGGACATTGCGCTCCCATCCGACCCTACCATGATCATGGCAGGGGATGGCACCCGGCTGTGTTCGACGGCGCTTCTTCAGCGACGCACGAGCGCACCGAATGGATGTAATGGACAGCGTTTCCTTGCATTGCACAGACGCGCATCTCGCTTGGATGCACGCGCGTGCCACGTCATGAAAGAAGGCGGGGCAGAAGGTGTTTTTCCCGACGTTGCATGTGTTAATCCCTGGATCCTTCCGGGCAAAACACAATGAACCCAGCTGAAGAGAGCGAGTTGCAGGCCTTCCTCTACACTAGAGCGTTACAACATGGCGACCGACGGCAACAACGACGCGGTGGCGGCCCATTAGGCAATTCTCACCATGGCCATCAGCAACCGCAACTCGATGATCTTCTCGTTCGGTAGTCGTTCGTCCGCCTCCGCTCCCCCCACACAGCACCAGCCGCCGTATACTGCCAAGCTGATGCCCACATCGTTGTACGATCCGAGAAACACGGTCAACGGGATCACACGGTCCCGATCGTTTCCACCCACGATGAGAAAAGCGGAAGAAGACGATGCCAAGCTCGTCGAGCTCGTCAATCGCATTCAGAAATGCGTCGACACGATCCAAGAAATCAAACATGAAGTCGACTCGGCTGCCGCCAAGATGCATCGACGACACACTCACCCGTGCCCATGACGAGCCCTTCCCTGGAGAATATCGTCCCCCCACCCTTCCAGCTCCACTATTTATCAATGCAAGCAGCGTATCTGTCGACTTTCTCTTTCGTCTTCACGGAGACGTCCAAAACACGACTGAGTACAGAGATGTCATGGGAGTGACCAAACAAAACGACAGAGAGCCATGACCACACTGTTGCTTTATGCAAACGAACTAGAGCAGCCAAGCACCACATTGGCGAGCCAGAATCCACAGGATTGCAGGATTCCAACACACACACACCAACGCTCTAACGGTAGCGGCGGAGCGAGGTGGTGTTGCGGCGCTTCCAGTTTTGGCGGCGCGACGAACCAATGATCTTGTTGGCCTTGTGGCCGCGTTGGCGCAAGCCACGGGCTTGGCGACCAGCAGAGGTCAAACCACGCTTTTCGCGGCGCTTGTGCACGGCGTTTACGATCCAGTTGATGCGGGCGTCGCGGCGGATGGCCTTGTGGGAATGGTCGACCAAAATCACTTCAAAGTACTTGTACGTCGCGTCTTGGTTCACCCAGTACGAGTTCAACACACGCAAGTTGGTGAACTTGGCACCAGCACGTTCTTCGGCGATCGAGCGCAAGTTGCGGACATCCTTGAGCTGGTTGATACCGTGGTGCTTGGGTTTACCGTAAACGATACCCTTGGAGTTAGGGCGCTTGCGGCCACCGCGGCGGACAGCGACGCGGACAGCGACGTAACCTTGCTTGGCCTTGTAGCCGACGCGGCGAGCCTTGTCGAGGCGCGAAGGGCGGGTCAAGCGGTAGACCACGGGGAGTTGGCGGTATTGCCAGGCGCGGACGCGGAGCAAGAAGCGGAGGACGTCCGATTGCTTGCGCTTCCACAATTCAGCGATGTACTTGTAGGCTCCCATGGTGCTTTGGCGATTGGTCTTGGCTCAAAATCAATTCTGGCGGCGCCACCGCCTATCGCGCGACTGACTGGCGGTGAGCTCCCGATGGAATTTAATTTCCAGACATAGAAAGTATTAGTCATATTTTAATTGCCTCAACGGTTTTTAATGCGAAGTTCTCATTGGGTGGATGTAGAGAACACGTTTGAAACAGGTGGGCGATGGAGTTCATGGGTATAAGTGCATGAGACTAAATGAATGGTCGGATCGATGTTCACGGTCCACTGCTTCAAGCTTCCGGACAGTGACCACGGAATTGCTCATGCTATTTCATATGTAGTTCTGTACAAATAAAGTAGCCTTTCCATCGTATGCAGAGAGTATTGAACAGAGGGATTGTTCACGCCAGACAACACCACACCTGCGTCGCCATTTCAACATGAAACACGCATATTCGAATTGACTCATTTGAAGAATGGCGTTCTTTTCGAAGCGTTTGAATCGTCGTACGAAACAAACCCCTCCAACATTGAATACCAACTCCGACAGGTCTCGAGATGGTTGGCGTAGGTCACAATCGTATTTGACTAAGAAGAGATGGGTCGCCGTCCTGCCAAGTGCTACCGCTTCCAAAACAAGAAGCCGTTCATCAAGTCGCGCTACTGCCGTGGTGTGCCGGACCCCAAGATCCGCATCTACGATGTCGGTAACAAGAAGGCGTCCGTCGATGTCTTCCCCTTTGTCGCCCACTTGGTGTCGGACGAAAAGGAACAATTGTCGTCGGAAGCTTTGGAAGCTGCCCGCATTTCGGCCAACCGATACTTGACCAAGTTCTGCGGCAAGGACAACTTCCACATGCGCATCCGTTGCCACCCTTTCCAAGTGTTGCGTATCAACAAGATGTTGTCGTGCGCTGGTGCCGATCGTTTGCAGACGGGTATGCGTCACGCTTACGGTAAACCGACCGGTGTTGCTGCCCGCGTCGCTATCGGCCAACCCATTATCTCGGTGCGCTCCAAGGACTCGTTCGGCCCTGCCGTCGTCGAAGCCCTTCGCCGTGCCAAGTTCAAGTTCCCTGGTCGCCAAAAGGTGTTGGGTTCCAAGAAGTGGGGTTTCACCAAGTACGAACGTGACGTGTACGCCAAGCTCCGCCAAGAAGGCGTATTGGCGTTGGACGGGAACCACGAAAAGTACATTCCCAACCACGGCAAGCTCAAGGCCCCTCGCGTCACCAAGTAAATGCTTTCCCGCATCCTTCAACGCTAGAGCTAGAAATCTCTTGTAACTTAACCACTTTTACGATTGTTGTTGGTCGCCTCATCCTTTCCCTTGGATCTTGACGGGTGCAAGACTTCATGCAGGTCAACTTGCCGTCCACCGATGTCGTTCTGCACAGAGAGAGCGCCGCCAGGACGATTCGTGAGTCGGTGACCTGGTGGATCTCGTTTCACGCGACCGTGGGCTGCGAAACACGCGAGATGTAGTTTTTCAAGTGTCTCAATCCTTGGTGTTAAATACTACACGACTCTTCACCAACGCACACTTGACCTCCGACCCGAACCTCAAAACTGATCGACCCGTTTATTGTTCGGCAGCAGGGGCTTCACGGCGGTAGCCATCTTGGTTGCGGCCGCGGAATTCAGGGTTGAAGTCGCCCGAAGGCCCCAAGTTCTTGTCCTTGCCACGGCCGTACCCGCCGGCGGAAGGCGCCTGGGGGCGTTGAGGGCGGGCCGCTTGCTTCTTCAAGGTCGCAGGGACGATCTCGGTCGGCAAGTGCAAGTACGCACGGAGGTATTCAATGCCTTCGGCGGTCAAATACCAGTAGTACCATTGCCAGTTGAACGTTTCCTTGACGTAGCCGCGCGAGTGGAGCGATTGCATGAGCTTGATCACTTGGAGGTTGGGCACGTCGACGTCACCGTGCTTGGGTGCGAAGAAGTCCTTCTTGCCAACCATCACACCTTCCTTGAACAGGTACGAGTAGACAGCGATGCGGTTCTTTTTCGGGACGAGCATGTTCGAGGATTGAGAGAGCTTAGCCGGCTAGCGGGTCTTCGCTTGAAACTAACTGGAGTAGTGGCGGCTCCTTTCGCATGCGCTCGCCCACCCAAGCCCTGCCAGCCAATCTATTTTGCACCAATGGACAACGGGACCTGTCACAATTTATGTTTTGAAATTGGTGTAAGTCACACTATTTCATGGGAACGGACATGCATATGGCAACCAAGATCACGGGGGGATGCCGGTGGTCTATGGAGTGCGGTGTTTTGTCGAGGCAAGATGGCATGCATTGTGAGCCTTGGCATATGTGTACATGGAGCAAGGCTTTGAGCCGAGGCCTCGCGCAAGATTTGGAAAGTGGTCCACAGTCCATGGGCGTCCACGTCCTCGCCACACCCCAGCAAGATCGAAGCCAACAACTGCGAGAAACGACAGCCCTGGTCGTCATGCGAAGGACGACTAGGAGCTGGGAACGCGACTACGCGACAGGTACAGGGCTCCGTACTCTTTATGGGCTTTTCCTGGTTATGGTATGTTGGATTTGATATCGCTTTCCTGATAATGATTGAACACGCTCGTCATGCACCGTTCACCGAGGACATTTGATCCATGTTAAAAGCCAAACCCGATGGCATTGATCAAGATCGAGTCGAAATCAGGGATGTAAAAGCTGAGGAGGACCGAGGTGACCAAGGTGGTGCTGCCTGAGGCAAAGTGCCAGTGTCTGTGCCAAAGCTCGTACTGGACATCCCCCGGCATCCCGCAGTAAATGAATGTGAATGCACAGGCTAGGCCGAGTGTAAACTTGATGCCCAGCACGTGGTGCAGGTCGTTCAGGTGGGCATGGTACGCCAGATAGCTACAAACCAACAGCATTTAGTCAGCACGGAGGAGAAGACTTTACGGCAAGCCAAGTCACTTACAGAGCAATCACGCCCAAGTTACCGGAGATGCACGCGTCGAGTGGAAGGTACTTGGTTTCGCGGTGGCGATGAAACATAGTCGATGCGATCGACGCTCCAAGCTGCAGCATCGCGCACGTGTACTGGCCCAACGCGAACGACACGAGAGAGGCCGCGACATAGATTAGATTCGTCAGGATGAGCGGGTCATGCCATTCGCGTTTGATGTGCGACAAGCGTAGCGAGTGCGGCGGGCAGAGGCACCCGCGACACAGACACATGACGGCGACTGGCTGCCCAGACCGACATGAACGTCAGAAGTGTAATTTCAGAGCAGCCAATCATAACTCTGGAATTCCACTTCAGTTAGCTTCATTGGTGGATATTTGGAACAGTGCTTAGTGCGCGAACTTCACGTTCAATCTAGGCAAATATCCACTCTTGAATATACTCTACTAGGGCTGAGTATAAAATGTGCACATTGCAGCATCAAAATATTCGCAAATTGCCACGAATTTCCACGTATATTTGTTGGCGCACTTGAAGTGTGTACACTTGGGTAGATTTCGTTTTGAAAGGTATCTTCGTCCATATTCAGAGGTCGAGCACAGCGGTGTGCGGCATGTGGAACCCGCGGGTGAAGCGAGCGGCGCTGTCCGTTCTCCCATCGTTCCTTCCGTCATCCTCGTCGACTATTGCCATCCTTGGAGCAAACGTGGACGCGAACTCGTCGTTCTTGACAGGAAGTGCGTCGGCACCGGATGCCATTCGCACTGCGTTTCACTCGGACAGCGCCAATGGATTTTCCGAGTGTGGGATGAATCTCATGCACAACCCAATGATCACCGACATGGGAAACTTGACCCCGACGTCGGCATCGATGTCGTCACTGTCAGCCGCGGCGCAAACGATCGTCTCCCATGACAAGCGGCTGTTGACTCTCGGTGGAGACCATTCCATCACATACCCCCTCGTCAAGGGTACATGTTCCATCTATTGGCTTCACTTAACGAAATCTATCTTCGTCAAGGTGTTCGTCGCGCATTGTGCGCCCGCGGCGAGACACGACTCAACATCTTGCACTTGGATGCGCACAGCGATTTGTACGAGTACGACATTCTGAACCAGAACAATCGATACTCGCACGCGTCCCCATTCGCGCGCATCATGGAAGAAGGGTTGTGTTCACGACTTGTTCAAGTCGGGATCCGCACACACACACAGCATACGCGGGAGCAAGCTGCAGCCTACAGTGTCGAGACATACGACATGCGGTCGCAGTCCTTGAATTGGCCCATCGATGTGGCATTTGACGGACCTGTGTACGTCACTGTCGACTTGGACGTATTGGATCCTGCGTTCGCGCCAGGGGTGAGCCACCACGAGCCCGGAGGTCTCTCCACTCGACAAGTGCTTTCTCTCCTTCAAACTTTTCGAGGCAATGTGGTGGCGAGCGACGTTGTCGAACTCAATCCTTCCCGCGACATTGGCGGGGGGCATGTGTCCATCTCCGGAGAGACGTCGAGCGGCATGACGGCCATGGTCGCCGCGAAAGTTGCAAAGGAACTACTTGCGCGCATGCTCAAGGCGGAAGGACTAGCCTAGCCCAACTTGACGTATCTCCACGGAGACATCCTCGAGTCGACGTCATTTTTTCCTGTAATGAATGCGTCTGTCCAAGGAGACCTCTCTCGTCCACACAATTCGTTCGGTCGCTTCAACGAGAGCCATCCATTCGATCCGGCATGACATGTTAATTCTGCGTTCGAGGAGCACGTTTGGTGGAGTGAAATCTCGGGCTCCTGGGGGTCGTCAGCTCCTTTGTGGATGGTCGAACTGCAAACCCAGACGTTGTCGGGCGTGTGTACGGCTTGGCTCGATACGTCTGCTGTCGACGTATTTCTTGCATCAGTCTCTCTTCCGCTTCGACTTTGGCGGCGGCAGCAGCAGCGGCGGCGGCGACCCTAGCTTCCAGAGCAGCCTTGTGTCTCGCTTCAAATAGCTCCCGCGCCTTTGCGCGGCGCTCGGATTCGAGGGGCTTCTGCGGGCTCGTCGCTAGTGTGCCCCTGGGCGTGGAAGTGGCCAAGGTCGAGTCGGCCCTGGCAACTCACCATGACATGTGAAAACGGAGATGTCACGATGACATTCTCACCCGTCGACTGAATGGACGACAACAACTGGACTGGATCTTGACCGATGCACGCTATGACCACGCAGCGCTGCTGGCGCACTGAAAGGAGGCGTCGCAGCGCCCGGACGCCCTTTGCTCTTGGATTGCTCGTCGGAACGGTGAGTTGCTGTGCTACGGGTTTGCCGACTGCCGGTACTTCGTGGCGTTGTCGAGCACCTTTCGTTGGGCTGCTCTTTCGGCGGAGGAGACGCCCGCTTTTTGTCGCCCATTCGCGCCAACGTTGCCAGTTTTGGCATGGTCGGTTGCGTCAATGGTTTCGTCGAGTTGGGTGCAATGTTGGGCGCGATATCCAACGTGACTGGAAGTGGACGCGCGTGGAATTTTTTCTGGAGCTCGATGGAGTCGGTGTCTTGGGGATGGACCTGTTTCCGCACTTGCTTGATCGCCTCCGCCCGCTTGGACGAGTGGAGCGTCGGTGCCGTCGGCTATCAAGCGCGATAAGGATGCGAGAGCATTCACATGGCGGAATGTACCCTGGTCAGAGGTTTGCGGGAAGACGTTGTCGAGAGCGCGCTGCTGCTGCGAGTGGAAAAGTCCTTTGAGAGCGCGTCATCGTCCATGGAATCCGGGGCCGAGTCCGTGTGTGAGCGCATGTCGTCGTCTTCACCGTCATGGTTGTTGTCATGGTGGATGGAAGGCGGTGTTGGTCGTCGCCGTGTCGAGGCCGCGGTCGTTTTCGATCGAGTCGCTTGCATTGCACCTTCGGCTGCCATGAACGCATCCAGCGCCGCGGCATTGTCCAGCTGATTAAAGTACCCGTCGGCGTTGTTCACATATCTCTTCTCGAACTCGCCGTCGTTCAGATCGTAGTACGTCGGCGCGTTAAAGGTGAATACGTTCGCGGCCTCGTCCTCCGGCTCCGTCATGTCCATGCTGTTGTCGTGAATGGCAAAATTGTCACTGGGGAATATGCCCAATCACTGCGCTGCATGGAACACTTCGGAATAAAAATGCATGCCGTTTCGACGAAAATGTATGGGATATTCCACGGAATTTTTTATAATTTCGACGGGAGGGATCGCCAAGTCGGCCGTGGCGGCTGCGCTGGCGGAGGCCATGGGTACAAGACGATTGCGGCGGAAGGAGGGAAAGGAGGACCCCCTCGCCACGAAAGCAATGACGCCTCGCTACCCTCGATACACGTGAGTTGTCCGTTACAGGGGGGGTTTCTTTACCAGAGCCTGACCTCTCTCCCACCCGACAAGCAAACTCCATGCAACACCGACGAACCCAACTCACCAACGTTCGAGAAATCATCCCGGCACGATTTGTACAATGCAGCATAGGTGTCGCTTGGAATACGCTGAGCTGGTAGTGCGGTCGCGGCCGGTCGTCGCGCGCCAAATCGTGCAATCGCTGGACGACATGCAAATCGACAGGGGCTCGGCGGTTGCCTACGCGACAAGCATGCCGCGAGGCGATTGTAAACATGAACAGCGCCATCGACAGCACGCAACAACCCCTTTGTCAAGATCGTGCTCGTCCACGACGACGACGATGGTTTCCAATCAATCAGGACGTTATCTGTCGATGCACAACATGAGGTCGGTGGATGTCCGTGCGAACCATCAGGAGACCTATAGGGCATCCACTCCGGACCGTCCTTCGTGCCATCTCCTTGTCGGGGATTGGGCTGCTCCGAGTGTCATTTGTACCAAACGTCGACCCCCCTCGCGAATTCGTCGCCGCTTCAGCGCAGCAGTCCCTTTGGCTATACACCTTGTCTCGGTCGACGCGCGCGCGGTGCGCTTGCTCTGGGTAAACTGGTTTCGGTGGATTTCGCCAAACACGCGTCACGATGGAGGGCACGAGCATGTAGATGCTCAGAGCCTGGTCATGGATGGCTTCGTCGTGGTGGTGGGAACGAGGGGCAGTGACGGTGGCAATGGGCTGCACGTTGATCTTTCCGCCTTTCACGGCGCTGTGTCCCCGCGGTCGACGCGTTGATGTCGGACGTGTCGACGCACGTCGCGGCTGGAAAAGTCCAAGGAGTTGACATCTCGCGGCCATTGGAAGCGGTTGTCGTCATAAAAGATGCAAAAGCCGAGCAGCACGAGCAAGCTCGGTGTGCAGAACAACAGCTTGGGCCCGATCGAGATGGTGTTTTTGTGGTCCAAGCTCGTGACGCATCGCTGGCATCGCGTTGACACGGTCGTGTTGGCCGATCCACGACGTGTCGTGAGTTTTTGTGTGCCACGACCCGTCTGGCATCAAGATGGATGGATCACGGGCCTTCCAAACTGTACGCCGTGTCATGGCTTCCGTCGATGCGTCCGTGGCGGGGTCCAAAACTTGGACGCTTCATCCTTTCATGTACTCGTACCCGACGAACGAGAGCCCGTTGACGTGAAGATGGGGGCAGAGTACGCAAGGGGTCGATGGCGCACGCGCCATGGCACGGGCATCCCTTGCGCGCACGTGAGAAGACACATCCACGACATGCCCATCATGAGCGCCACCAGGAGCAGCGAAAAGCTCCAATAGTGGTGTCCGTTGGTCGAAAACGTGTACCGAATCACGTACGCGTACAGCGGGGAGAACGTCCCAACGAGCGCGAGCAGGACAACACGCCGCCGTTCAAGCGACCCCAAGATGTCGTACGTCAAGACCGGTTTGTTCTGGACCAAGCCAGACATCCAGCGTGATCACGCCGCCGTTGCTGAGCACCACGAGCAACACGATGCCCATGGTGATCTGGAACACGAGCCGCATCATGAAATTGTCCACTTTGTGCGACTTGTCTCTGCCCACCGTCGTCGCATACCCCGTTGTTTTCCCAATGCTGTACCCGTCCAGCGTGGGGCCGACGGCCGAAATGACGAGGAAGCGGATCCACACCTGCATGAGGAACAGTCGGTTGACGCTGTTGTCGTGATGTAGTTGGCTTGGTCCCAACGTTGTCGCTCCTTTGTCCCGTCCCCATGCACTGCTGTCTTGACGATCGTGCGTTTGCCGCTGGTGCATTGGATGTGCACGGGCGCGCGGCTGCCACGTCCGAGAACGTGCTGAGGACGCCGTCGGGGTGTTTGCCGTTCCCCATCGCGTCGAGCGCACGCATGCCCACATCGTCTTGGCGCCGGGTTGCACGATGGAAAGGCCACGTCCCCCATGACAAAGACGAACGTCGCCCACCGCAACGCGTCGTTGTCGCCCCAAGACAAGTAGTACGACAGAGACAGGGGGGTCGTCGGCATGGAGATCAGCGGCCAATTGCACACCGCCGTCCACGGCACGTCCCCCGTCACCGCGACGAACCCAGCGCTGCTCCATCGACACGTCTGCGTGTGTGGAATCCAAGTCGACTGAAAATATGTCGTCACGTTCGTGCTTTGAAACATGCCTTGGTAGAGCAGCAGCACGACGACGATTCCAACGACCAAAATGCCTGCGCCCGCCGACAGGTTGTTGACGACTCGGTACCATTTCGACACGTACGCGATGGGCAAGGTCGGCTTGATCCGCGAGGAATACTTGCGGGCGCTGTCTCCGAAGCATGCGGTCCGAGTGAACGACGACCGGGATCCACTACCACGTGGGCTGAATGGGGACGTCTAGGCCATGGCAAACAGAGGGAGGGGCAAGGGCTGGCATCGAGTGCAAAGTAGTGAACGGTTATCCTTGCGGTACTTGGGCCATGGCGAGCCCCCTCGGCTGTGCTTGTTCGTCTTCGAGACGAGCGCAGCACAGTGCATCCACCCGAGCACGGTGGGTGGCAGGTGCCGCATCCATGGCACAATACATGGGACGAGGGAGTCGATGCTGACTGCGGAACGTCGAGGAGGGCAATTACTTGCCAGCACACGCCAGGTTGGTTTCGTGGCGACTGCCTCAACACCGCTATCAGAAACGACACGCTCGACCAGTCGTGACAGGCGATGCTGAAGCGTACTGCAGCAGTCAAATGGAGCTTGTTGTGCGGCGATCCCGGCAGCCCTTCTATCGGGACCATGCCATCATTGCTCACGTCAGGAACGTCGACGCGGCACAGCAAATGAACACCCCACCGTGATGGTGTGCCTCGATGGCATTGCCACTCTGGTATGGCTGCGTGTGGAATGTCAGAGCAGTGCGCGACAACCCACGCACGCATAGAGTCGAGTCGGTTGAGGGTAGTGGCGGACGTGATGCAGTTGCGATGGTTCTACGACCGTTCGCCCGTCGCTTGGCAACAAGAACGCAGTGCAGATCGACGTCGACATGTCCCGCGAGGCAGCCTGTCCGTTCTAGGGTGACTTTGGGATCGCGTCCGAGCATGTGCTCAGCAGAAGCGCTCTGTAGCGATTAGTGAATCGCGTACTGGCAATAAGTTTAAGACCACCCCCAAATTGGTGGTTACGCTACCTCCACCTCCAAACAAGGTTGCGCCGTATCGTACAATTGATCTAATACGAAATTGAGGCATGCTAGTGCAGCAACACAGTCACTTCACTCATTCAATCTAACATTGTGAGCAGATTGTGAAATCGTCGCTGGCAATAAGTATAAGACCACGACGCAAAAACAGCATCAATGCATGTCGATTACCATCCAAATTGCTATCAATACTTTGTCTTACCCCCCTTGAGTTCCAAGACACTCACACAGCGCTTTTGCATCGACTGCAACAGCTTGTCGATGAGGTCTTCACCAATGTCATCCCACGCCTTCAAAACGGCAGCAATGAGCTCATTTTTCGACGCAAACTGACGTCCATGTGCGTAAACGGCACGTGCAAGGACACCCCACATGTTCTCAATGGGGTTCAAGTCCGGTGACTTGGCCGGCCACTTCATGACGTCAACTTTGTGCTCGTCCAAAAACGCCTTGGTCTCCTTTGACGCATGGATCGAGGCATTGTCGTGTTGGAAGATGCACTCGCGACCAAAGTGCAAGTCGATGTACGGGAACAGATGGTCGGAAAGCGTGTCCACATACGCGCCGCTGTCTTGATTGCCCTCTAAAACGGCTAGAGTCGATTTCCCCTTGGCACTAAATGCGCCCCAGACCATGACGCTCCCTCCACCGGATTGGCGCTTGGAAAAGATGGCCTTCTCCTTGCGGAGGTCATGCCAATAATACTTCAGCCCGTCAGGGCCATCGAGATTAAACTTCTTTTCGTCACTGAAGACGACTTGTCCAGGTGACTTTGTCCCGTGCCCAATTTTGGCGCGCGATTTTGTGTTTTTCCGTCAAGGTTGGCGAGGCCATGGCCTTGACATGTTGGATGTGCTTGGCCTTGTTGAGCAATTGACGGGCACGCCTAGCCTTAATGGCTAGTTGGCACTCTTGAACGAGCTCACGAGAGCTCAAAAACGAATTGGATGCAGTCCGAAGAAGGCGACGCACGTCTTGGGCAGTGACTTTAGGTGGTCGACCAGTACGCTTGTTGGCATTGTAGCCCGCTGGGTCACTTAGGAAGTGTGCAATGG